TACACTATATTTTCTCAAAAGACAAAGATGGGGGGCATATTAATTAAACTGAAACAATAAAAATTGGCAAAAGAAATACATTTAATATAAATCAGTTATATTTATCATTTGTTTTTATTTGTATATTATCAGATGATAGTTAATGTATGACTCACAAGAGTACAAATATTTTTTATTGATTTTTTCAGTATAACCCTTATTATTGTGTCTTCTGATGATAATACTAATGAGGAACATTTGAATAAATTACTTGGTTTGATTTTCAACTCTATGGTAAGCATACGTCATGTACAAATTACAATCAAAAGGAAGTACTATGTTGACTATATTTGATCCCGGAGTTGTGGGTCTTGTGATTCGCTGCCACCACGCCAGTAAATGAGTCAACGCGCAACGATAAACAGCCTTTAATAGTAGTGAACGAGTAAAAAAGGCAAAAAGATGGCTGACCGACAAATACAAAACAACCAGGCCTTCCATGCGTGCRCATGGTCATAATGATAATTGTCCGCRGACCTRTTAGTCTGCTGGYGATGTATGTCTATGTACACCTATAATATTCCTCATATTATCAGAGTATAATATTATGAAAATTACTGTGTAAATGTTAACAATCTATGATAATAAAGAGCAGTTTATTCTTTAGGTGATGTTACTTGGTATTGATGAAATAACAAACACWAAGAAYACTGAACTGCTAAAACGAGAACTAAGGGTATGGAATTTCCAAAATAATTTACACTTTAATACACTGTGTATTTTAAAAAAATGTCACGGAGAATAGTGAGGGAGATTGGGAAGGGAGAAGGGAGATTACATGACTGAAAGAAGCTATGCAGTTTGACATTTGTCGCTTTACATGAAAATGGAGACTTAGAGTTACGTTACCGGTAATGTTTACTATAGACTATCTTAAAGTAGAAATCATTTATAATTATTTTACACAAATTCCCCTTTCGGTCATGCAACCTCTWTTGGACARTTGCYATTCACCATTATTTGACAACATTGTTTGAAATACCCTATACATGTATCTACGTAAGGTATATTGTATATATAGTCGCATAGTTGTTAGCCTTCGCTACAGTCATCTCTYAATAGCCTGTGTCACATCCAGACATTATTGATGGTTGTCCAGATGTGATGCAGGCTATCTCTTATAATCATTATGATAATGCATTCTTGATACTGATTTTTCATATTTGGGATTCCTTTGTTACCACTTCAATGACAGAGAGCTGGTACCCATTCCATTCTCCCCATTTCATACACAGGGTTCCCAAGAGTAAACTACAAAGGAGGCCTAGAGATAGTTGTGCAGTCATAAACTCCACTTAGTCATAGCCCTTCCCATTGTCAACACTTTATATATAGCTTTACTTGTTGAAAACAGAATTTTTTTTCAGAGGAATCTAATGAATGCAGAAACTTTTTACTACTAATAATGTTGTCTTTGTTGATTTTTAATTTGCAGTGTTGCTATGGTTTGATTGACAGTCTGCTAGAGGGGACAGAGTTGATTGGTGATACAGTGCAGGCTGTTGATGCTATTTTGTGTTCAGATGTATCCATTCTCCAGGTACATCTTTACTCATACATGTATTAATTTATTTTCACCTCCCAGGGAATTTTACAGAAATTCTCCATTTTACAGTTCCAAGCGCCATCTTCAAAGACAACCCAGCTTTTGTATCAAAGCGATACAGGGGTTGAGTCTGCAGTGATACATGCACTACTGTATCTATACCTTTTGTTCACACCTAAGACCATCATTCACAAGTGTCCATCATTGCAAGATCAAATTATGTCTTGCTTTGATGCAAAGTCTCAGCTACCTTTCAAGAAAGCACTTTGAACTGTAAAATGGAGTATTTGATACCAAAGAGGGGGGAGAGGGGGCGGGGATGATGCACTTACAGGTTTCACARGCCTGAAAAAATGTAAAAATGTTTGATGACTTTTCAGGAAGTACTGGATGGGTTTGTATCAGCTTTAGATAGTGAATTTGGTTGTCTGCTTGTCATGGGAAAGGTTGCAGTTGCTACTGTAAGATGGTAAGTCTCTGTACTAGCCTAGTCCATCCAATAGCCTCCGCTTTAAATTTTTGGATGATTTTATATGCATTCAATTTGGCATGCAAATTTACTAAGTTTTTACTGAAAAAACTGGATTCAAAATAATATTATACTACTGAAACCGAATAGAAAATTGTTGCAGCAAAGTTGGAATTCAAGGTTGTCAATTGTATACAGTCTCATTCTTGGTATATATGTTTTAGGTGGGAGTTAACAGGCATGGAGACAGTATTACTATCTCTTCTGATTCATAGCCAAGTACCATGTTCATCTAGAGATCTACCTGTTTATCTGCCTTATGGAAGCCCAAAGGTAAAATCTTTGCTATCATTGCTATCTAGATGTATTTGATATCTTGGACTGATGATAGGTGATGAGTGCATGACAAGAGGACTTGCAATGTATTTTAAGGGAGGGAAGGAAGTGTCCACATGTGATCTTTGGAATAACCTGGTAAATGGTACTTCAGAAAGTACATGTGTGTTGGCAAGCAAACATCAAGTCCAAATGGGTGATTGGTCTTTCAATGTTATGCTAACACATACAAAAGGAATTTCGTCATAGGGTTGCACAGGCTTTCTATTTTTTTTTTTTTTTTTGATGTTGTCACATTTTTTTTTATTTGATCTTTAGTACAGAAATAGCACAGCAAACATGACCTTGAAACAAATATGTTCCCATGCAACCCTTCCACTCAGTCAAGGCAATAATGTGCATGATAGCGCTTCAATAACACTACATGCCTGGACATTGTGTTGATAATTTTAATTTTATTTATTTATTTTTTTCTATCAATAGGTCCCTCATAGACTTGTTACATTTCAGGTAATATTATTATAATCATATCAATCTGATCTTCATACTCATAGATATTTCCATAAAATTCTTTGTAACATTCATATTGAGGCCTTATGCGCCACTGGGTGCGAAGTGGTTCGGTAACGGTAATCATTCATATTTTAAGTTACAGTCGAGTCAATACCATATAATGTTGTTCATTGGTAAAGGTTAAGACAACATCATTATCTTAATTTTAAATTCATTGAACAAATATTGAGCAATAGAGGCTGGATTGCCGTGGATTTATTGGTGAAATACATGTAAATCACGCAGAGATTATGGTGTTGTTTTATCGTGTTTCGCTATTTCACTGATAAACGCACGACAATCCATTCTTTACTGCTTTTATGATATAGAACGTTAGTCGTATTCGCGAGTGTGCATTTACCGCCGAAATAAACCGCACTCTTCGACCAATCAGAGCATTTGCATTAATACATTTATATTATACTTCAATGTAAAGTTGCAAAAGTACATTACAATGTCAATTATCTGGAGCTGTAAACTAAAA